TTGGGGGGTTTTGGGGGGGCTGGTGGGGGGAGGAGCTGGCCAGAGCATGGGTTGGGGGGGCTGGGGGAGTGGGTAGGGCCGTTGGAGGTCCCCCTCATGGTCCCCTCCCCACCTCCTCCAGTCCCCCTGACCCCTTACTTGCCAGCACCAGAGCCCTGGTGCTGAAACATGCGGCCTGGCCGGCCATGTGTTTCAGCACGAGGGCAAGGGCCAACCATAGAGATTCTCTGGCAGCCAGAGCATCTCCGTGGAGGACCCAGCCTCTGGTTGCCTCAGGGCACAGTTCGGGACTGTGCCCTGTGCCGCTTTTTTAAACTTAAATTTTTTTAGACCGCTTGATATCCAGGGGTCTAATTTCCTCCCTGCACTGCAAGTTTGCAGCTCAGGGAACATTTTTTCGTTCCTGCACGTGACTATTACCCCACCTCAAAGGGGTTTGAGGCAGGGCAAGAGGTACGTGAGTGTGGCAGAAAGCCACCTTGGTTTCTCCCCAAAAATCTCTGCCCTGTGACACTGTGATTTAAATCTCTGTGCTGTGACCATTCAATTAGGATGGGCCCAGCACACAGGGGACCACACCCTCAGCCTGTCTCTTTAGGGAACTGGAGCTGGCTGCATTCCTGAGGGAGGGGGAAACCTGCTCCCTCTGCTTACGTGACTTGCATCACTTACCTGGGTAAGGGGTTTCTACCTGGGGAGCTGGGATCTGCCCGGTAACAGGTGATGCATTTCAGATTGGTTGGCTGACAGCCAACTGGGGCTGACCTCCGCTGGCCCAGGTGAATGAGGTCACAGGGGCTATATAAGTTAGGACGGGGAAGGAGGCGGTCTCTCCTCTCCGGCCATGAGGTGACGCAGCAGCCAGGCAGGGGACAGAGAAGCCTTAACATCTGAAACTGGCTCTCTCCCCCCAAACTCACGAGCTAGGAACCGCCTGCCTCCAAAGGGAAACTTCACCTGCCTTTGGAAGATGCTTGTGAGTAAGCTACTCAATCTGATTAGATATTTAGCTGGAAGTATCACAGATGCGTAATCAAAAGGCTACCACAGCCAGACTGTTTGCTCTTTAGGATTTCTAGATATTGCTCTATCCTGTACCCTAGTTTACCCTACCCCCTGTAATCAATAAAGTTCTCCTTTTCGACTGGTGTGGGAGACTTATTGAGGGATGGGTCTAAATTATGCCTAAGAGACCCCTTAGGTCTGTGGGCTAAGGGAGACTTTACTTTTTGCCCCTGGACTTGGGGAAGTACCCCAAGTGCCTGTATTGGGTCGAGTACCCGTAGGACTATTAGGCCTGTGTTACCCCAAGGACACAGGGCCGCGAGACAGTCCATTCTTGGGGTGGTGGCGGCACGTTACCCCCAGACTACCGAGTGTGCTCCGGGAGAGGGGTCGGCCGGACATAAGGTGCCCCTAGGGAGGCATTCGGAGCCTGGAAGGTGGTCGGGCACAGGGAGGTGGGCGGCTCGACGCAGGAGCACTCCCTACTGGCCCGCCTCACGTGGTGGAAACAGCAGAGGGATACGAATACCCAGCTGTATTCCTGAGGTGGGATCTCTGCACCCGCCACAGTGAGCGCTCATTTGGATGTGCCCAAAGGAGTCAAAGCTGTTATATTCCACACGTTGCTCCTGATATTGCCTCAGTTCTTGACAAGTGGTGCGCTTTCTATTCTTTTTCAGTGGTGCCTTAGCTACATGTAGTAGGTGATTGTACTAGTTACCTACTGCATGTACATACTAGCAGACTGTATTCTAAGAGAACAGACTAATCTTTGTAAGGCATATTTAATTTCCTAAAGGAGACAAAGTCCTACAGCTTTAAAATGCATGCCTACATTTTATTGTAATAACTTGATACATTTATTTTGATTTATACCTAGACTGATTTCTTCAAGGTATCATGATGTAAGTCTCATTACTGTGTCTTATGCATTGGTGAAATGGGCAGGTGTTTACAGACCACTCCATAGTAGACAGATGTGTAAGTACAGATGTTAAGAAAATTAACTTATTTGAAAAAATTAATGCCAGGTCAGATGATCAGAGGCCATATTTCTGACTCTGCCATTGGCCTACTATGTGGCTTCTGGCATATGACTTCTCTTTTTTACACCTTCATTTCCATTCTCACCCTTTGTCTTGTTTCTTGCAAAAGCTCTGGAAGAGGCATCATTTTTAATCATGAATTTGTATAGCACCTGGTGCACAGTCTCCAAATTAAATTAAATGCTCGAGTTTTACTATACCATTAGTAACACTTTTGTAATTAGATATCGGGCCTCTGGACCTGGAGTCAGATAGCTACTGGTTCTCCACTTCTCTAGTTTTCAGCAGACAATTTAATTTCCATTTCGCAGAGATGGATAAACACTTAAAGCATTTATCCGTTTCCTGAGGCTGGACATTGGAAGTGAAGATAAAATAGGAGAAGGTCAGAATCACTTTTGATCTTGAATTTGCCAAATTTTAGAAATCCAGAATAGAATAGTATAACCTGTGATCTTAAATACTAGTCTACTCCATGATCAATTGAAATGCTTTGCCAGTAAGGTCTCTTTGTTTGCTCTGGACAGGACCAAAATAATTATACTGAAAGCATCCTATTGATTGCTTTTGACAGAAAGCATCCTATAGTGCTTATCACTCACGGTTAAGCCGATATCTTTGCTCCATCAGTACAAGGACAACCTTGCCTTCTAATGTGCGGGAAATGTGGCACTGCAACTGAAGCATGTAGTTTCTCATTTTCATAGGTTAAATAATGGAGAGATTAATTTAGCCTCCCTGAAGAACTGAGAATGCTCTCAGGAGAGAAGTCTAGTAAATCAAATTGATAGATGACTGCTCTGCGCCATACTTTTTAGAGTTCAGATTGTACATCAGCATTTCCTGGCTCTTCCACATGGGTCTCTCTCTCTCTCTTTATTTTCTCTTCCTTTTTACAAATTGCATTTTCCTAACAGGGCAAACCAAACTAACATGATGATAAAGGCGGCTGCGTGGAAGCTTCTGAATAAGAAGGATTGTTTCTGCATTAAAATCACAACACCAATTGTTATAACTCAATAAGGGCTCTGTATTTTTAGAGAAGAACCTAAACAGACAAAACAATCAGTGTCCCAAGATTAGGATTAAAACAAATTTTTAGAGATGGCAACAGCTAATTACTGGAGCTACCATTAATAAAAACAAAAGCCTCCAGTTTGAAGCTAGTAGATTTGGATTGGCATTTTTTTGTATGGTAATTGCATGTTTAACTCCCTTCAATGGCTGTAATTCTCAGCAAAATTTTCTCACCCAAAAAGTGAAGTCCAATTTCTGGACATCAGTCACATACCACTGTAATACTTTACAAACCTCTTGACACATGAGAAGCTTATGAAGACTAGTTGCATATGTATCTTCAGAATCAGAGTTTAAATAAAAGCTTTTATTCTGCCTAAAATGTTAAATCAGCCCTCACTTCCTAAAGAAAATATTGCCAAAGACTTGATAACACAATTCACTAAGTTGTACAATTGTTTCAATTATATCAGCTATTATATTACTAGCATATTGGTTTTTTTTTTAAAGTCTTATTTGGAATTGATGTAGGAAATGCCTTGAATAGAAAAAAAGCTTTGCTTCTATATAGTATCTTTCATTCAAGGATTTCAATGTGTTTTGTAACTAGTAGTAGTAATAATAATAATAAAGGAAAGCAGGCATTATTATGTCCCTCTCCAAATGGGGATATTAAGAGGCAGACTTAGATGATCCAGACAATTGTAGCGCCTACACAATGCAATCCTGGTTCAAAGCCTGTTCAGTATCATGGTAATGCAAACAACATACAATTTCCCCAAGATCAAAGAGTCAGTGGAACAGGCAGGAATAGACCCCAGGATTCCTGAAACCTATCCCCCATCTCCTACAGCTAGACAACATCAGGTATAATTTGCCAAAACTGAATTTATTATCTAAACCCATTATCCTGCTGGTGTGAAGTGTTGGAGGGGAGACTATGGCTAGATACAGACATTCAAAAGCCCAAGGCAGAATCGATTCGAGTTGCGTGGTTATCTGTAAGCGGCATAGTTTAGATCGGTAGTGAACAGAACACACATTTGCCCTGGGGAGGCGGAAGGCGGGGAAGGGAAGGGAAGGGAGCAAATCTTATATTGGGTTCCTCCATTTCTAAACCAGCCTGTGTGCCGAACTTCTGTTCTGTTATGGGTATAGACCGCTTTCTAATCACTTATAATGGTAAAAGTGCAATGTCTGTACCTGGCCAATGAGATTTGAGCGTGCTCTTTTCCTTGCTGGATTGAACCCCTCTTTATAGGCAAAAATGAACTTTAGTATTATTTCATTACAGTATGGGGACTGAGATCATGTGAGACCAAGCAAGGTGAAGCCATCAAGAGGAAAAAGTGACAACTCCATTTAAATTCCCACCAAAATGGGATGTCAGTACTTGGAATTGCTAAGGTGGTTTGCCCTTGTACTAGTGATTCTTTCACTGAATTGTCACTACTTGTTGCTTATTTCTGACAGCCATCCTGGACTTGGAAACTGAGCCTGAAAGCCCATTATCACTATCTATTGATCTGGAACGACTGGATGGACATGAATGGACTCTTCAGGATGGGGGTATCTATGCAACACTTACAGTTTCTCTCCTAGTACAATTTGCATTTTAATTTGTTTCTATGGAAACAAGGGACTAACTTAGCAGGTGTCACGCAGGCTCCTCCATAGTTCCCACCCCTGAGTCTCAACTTTGAGTACTGCAGTCAGCCTAGTTTCATACCAGGCCTCATTTACCTCTGTATTATTCTAGTTTTGTGTTACTGGAACTCAGCTAAAATGGATGGGGTCTCAACAGGTGAAACTGGAGAAATTCTTGGAGCAATTCAGTGGTCACTCAGGGTGTCCATACTCAAGCATGGAGGTTGCTTTGGCACGCTATAATTACAGCATAGAGGCTGCTCCAATGCAATTAGTAGAGTCTGCTGGGTCCAGCCAGGCTCTGCATCTCATGTATCAGTGTCCCCACACTTCAAAATGGTGGCAGGGGCACTTTATCTAAAGCTGGTTCAATGAGCTGTAGATAAAATGGCCCCACCACCATTTTGAAGTGCAGGGATGCTGATACAGGAGATGCTCCGGGCACTTTAATTAGAGTGGCTCTCAGAGCCACTCTAATTAAGCCCCCCCCCAAGCATGTGTATAGGCACTCTCAGGCACCAACCTGAAATACTGTACTTCATAATTTGTCAACAACTAAAAGCTTAAAAGGAAATACCATGTTGTTTTCTCACATAGAGCGCACAGAGTTTTCAAAAATAGTTGCTGGAAATTGGAGTGTGCGTTATATTCCAGGAAATACAGTAAAACCCATTACCTCCTCCCCCCACCCATACTGGCCAAAAGTGAAGTCTGCATGTGATTCCCAGGGAGCAGAACAATGAGCAAGCTTGGCTTTCTAGCTGCCATGACTCCGTTACTTAATACAGGGAAAGACAGTTTTTTTCCTTCATTCGTCTTTTCAAAAACAAGGGCATATTTGCCCGCAAGAAATTGCAGGATTTAAATACAGACTATAAATTAGTATTTTTAAAATGTATTTGCAATATTTAAATACAGACTATAAATTAGTCACTGAATTTATTTTAATTTTTGGTACTTCTGCCATGATACTTATTGGCCATGGTATAACAGAATTGTTGTAGTTCTGGGGAAAAATGCTGCTGTATTTGAAACCCTGTTCTGATTGAGGGTAGAAATACTAGTAATCTCATGAGAGAGTCCATTCAGGAGATACTGAGTAACAGCCTCTGCTTGTATCAGCTGGTAGAGATTTGCAGAATTCACTGGAACTTTGATTTTCACTAACTAACAAGATAGTCCACCAACCCTAGTTTGTGGACTTTGAATAAACAGCTAGATTTCCACCAGCTTATTCAAATGTCATGCCCTGTGAACATTCGCCTTCCATCAGTTCATGAATGGTCTGTATAAAATAAAAGATTTTACTTTTGGCATTTCAGAGTAGTTTAATTTCTACTGTCTCATTTAGAAGAAAGAAGATTTCCACCACCTTCGGACTTCTTGAGAGACCTTGGTGAACAGGGAAACAGACCCATGCCCCTAGAACACAGGTGGGATGCTTTTCTTACTTTACCTTTCCAGGTGTATCGGTGCGAAAGTGGTGTAGTGTCACATCCGACAGACCTTTCATGCAGGATAGGTTTAGCAGTGCGCATTCAGCATGACAGTAGGGCCTTACTCCCCCTATTAGGACTTTCTAGACCTCTGAATGCTGGAAATTGGAAGTGGCAGGGGTCTGATCAGTCTGGATAGGCCCTGCATAAATATACTTCCCTCTAGCATCTACTCTATGCCGCTCCAAGACGCAGGGTAGTGTTCTGTCTTATGTTTTTAATTAGCTTTATACAATCCTAACCAAGATCGGTTCCGAGATTTATGCCAGTTGCTTTACAACCACGTTGTGAGAGAAGGTCCCTGCCCTTGTAATCGAAATGGACTGGGACAGGCAAAGGATGGAAGAAGGGAAGAAGTATATTCCCTGTTTTATGGTCGTGGAACCGAAGCACAGAACAACTGAAGGACTTGCTTTGGGTCAGAAAAGTCTGGGGCAGAGCTAGGAAAAGAAACCTTGTCTCCTGGTTTAGCTTAGCTACAGACCAGTTTTTTTATCCAGGATTCCTGGACTTACCCAGAGGCTGAATGGAACAACACATATATGATGCAGTCCCGTGACCTTTTTCTTGTGAGACTTGAATGGGACAGAGGACTTGGGGTAGCCCTCTGAATTGTGTGTTCAGCCTACAGTCCTGGGTACTAAATATATACCCTTCAGCTATGATTTCCCCCCCCCCCCTTTTTTTTTTCAAGAAAGCCTTTTTTTCCCCCAATGTTTTATTTTGATCTGCAACATAAAAAATGAAGCAGCACTTTAACAAATCAAGTATCATGCAGGGAGAGATTCTCACTAGCTTCTCTCATCCAAAAAAAAAATAGTGTGTCCGGTGAAATTAAGTTATGCAGCCTTTATGAAAGGGAAAAACTGTCTCCAGAGCATTATGAACTGCCTGCATGTCTTTTAAATATAGTTTTAAAATGATAGAAAAGGTATTAAGCAAACAAAAGAGCGTTGAATTTGATGGTTGCCTTCTAATGAGAGTTTAGCAAAGTACACATTTGATCTAAATAAAAAGGCACCTAGAGACTGAGGAATATTATCTAAGAGCAGATGTGTTTTATATTTCCTTTGGATATGTTGGTAACCCAGGGATAATTTATTAGTCCCCAGCCTGTAATCACAGTGTCATGGATGTTCCAGACATTGTTGTAACTGACTGCAAGCCCTGCAGGGGTGATTTATCATGTCAAAAATTATCTGGATGCCCTAAAAAGCAGTCATTTTTGCTCTCTGATACCTGCCCTGTGGCATCCAAATATTTGTAGGGTTTGTGATTACTGGCTTTTTCTTTTCATTGAGGAAAACTTAGACAGCCTAATTGAAACTGTCACCATATCTGACGATGACAATTCTTAAAGGAATATTGTCGGGGACCATAACGGAGCATTTGCAGAATTTACTTGCCATGGGGGATTTAGTCAGCAGGGATGGTTCATGGACAAATTGCTTAAATGTTCTTCAAAAACAGTAAAGTTGAATAATATCCCCTCTATTGGAATCTGCTGTACAACATTGTAATACACCTTTCCAAGACCATCTTTACATCACAGAGATGAATGACAGGATAAAGCCATATATTACAGAGGGGGCATTTAGAGCCCAAGCCTGCGCCACTAAGTCAACGTGAATTTTAAGACCGTCTTCAAAGGGAGCAGACTCAGCGTTTCAAGGGTCAGTTGTTATCTGTACAATGATTTTATTCATATTCCATTTCAGGTCCATGGGTAAGATTGCACTGTTCATTTCTAGGAGGCCGCATTGTGAGCAGAATGTTAAAAGTGACGCGCTGTGCTCTCTTCACGGGCAATTTAGTCTTTTAATACTTGATTTCTTTGGCATCTCAGTTCTGCTTTATCCCAAACAATAATATCTGAGGTTAGGATTCATGCACAAAGTTTTGCTTTAAAACCTGTCTCCAAAAGTGATCAACATAGGATATATTTTTTTTCACAATGACAGTAATCATGTACTTTATAAAAAAGGCCTTATTTTTGGTAACTAAAAAGATGCTGCTGCTAGCAGTGATTCGCATCCAAGATCTGGGTACTCTCACGTGGGCCTATTCCTTTCGTGCTTATTCTCTTGCAGTGAGTTAAAGGTGCTAACCTGTGCTGGCTACTTCTTTAAAAAGGTTAAACAGTGAGAGATTTAATAATTGTTTTAATGTTAATCCCCAGGATTCCCACAATGACAGAAGACGTGGCTAGAAATGCCCTCGTTAGCTTTGTTAATTCCAAGTGTTGCTATGGTAATAAAGCTGCAGGAGAACTGGTCATTCAGGATTTGAGGCAGCTGACTTTATACCGAGTGAGTATATCCATATCTGATACTTCCTGGGACGTTTCTGGTTCTGTCACTTGTATCAGTGACACTGGTCTGTGAAAAATTATCTATTCATTAAATTAAATGGATTTAATTCCTTTGAAAGGGAGGGGCGGGGGAACCTACCTTACTGATTATTGCAGGTTTTACAAGCAAACATGTTCATCTTTCTCTCTAGTATAGAATATGTACAATGTCTAAAGATGGCAACATACCTGAAAAATTTTCTCTTCTTTTTAAGACTGTGGTATTGGTCTCCCACATGACCTTCATAGAAAACGACTGTCTTTTCCTAAGCAAAGCTATAGGTACTTGTTGAATGTACATGAATGTGTTTCAGAGTACAGGGCCTCCTGTGACTTATGGATGATGGCCCATTTCACTTTTTAAGACCTGTTCGGTGGGACTTGTTCAATAGAACCAAAAACTCGAGGTGTGAGTGCTAATACATCAAGTACCACTGACTTGTGTATCTTCTTTTAAGAGTCTCCAACATCCAAAATGCCGCGGTAGATAAAATGCTTTTGTTCTCAATGGAGTTATATTATTCACTGAAAATAATGAACATTAAACATTTAGCCCTTTTTCTTTTCTCTTTGCAAATGACTTAGGAAATATTCTAATTTTTTTTGTGTGAAAGCTCCTGTCACTTCTATTCACTAAATACTCAAAGCATATTCAGAAATAAATCTCTCAATCACAGGAGGATAAGGATAGGGAATGACAATGTAGAAAAAGGCGAAAAAAATAAATATTTAGGAACAACAGTCACTGAAGAGCATCAAATAACTGAAGAAATCAAGGCATGGATTTACAGTGCTAACATATGCCCGTGGAGTCTAGATAAAATAATGGCATCAAGGAAAATCTCAAGTAACCTTAAAATCTAGCTGCATAGTACAATTGTTCAACCTGCCCTTTTATATGGGGGTGAATCCTAGATGCTGATAAAGGCAAATGGAAAAAGGCTGCAAGTGGTTGAAAACAAAGTGTCAAGGAAAATAGTTGGTGCAGTACAAGAAAACAGAATGTGAAGAGACAACTTCATCAAGAGCTGTGTGGACCTTTACAAAAGGCCTCATGTCTTGAGCAAAATAAAAGCTCAGAAACAGAAGTGAACAGGGAACTGATGAGAGAAGGCAAGTGAGGCAGAATTTGGAAGCTGAGGTTAAGGGTATCAGCCCTCGAGGCAGGCCAAGGCAATGATGGGAAGATAATAAAAACTGATCTGGAAGGGGTTGGCAAGGATGCAACATGGCAGAAGGAGATTGCGCAAGATAGGAGAAGATGAAAGGCTGTAGTTAAGTTGTAGCCCCCCCCGCTCCAAAATCTGTGAGGCTAGAGAGAGAGGAATACTCAAGATGAAAAATTTCTATTTTGCAGTTCTTGTATTGCATAGCTGTTCATCTAAGACATGCTGTATTGTACCTACGTCTTGATTAGTTTTCTGGAAAGAATCCTAATAGATCACTAATAAATTCTGAATATACCTTTTCTAAGTTCTTTTAGATCTATATCAATTTATATTAATGTTTGTTCGACCTTTGAGGTTCACCAACATTTTCACAAAAGCCTCATGGCTAACTGGAATATTCTGAATAAAAGCCCCCCAAGAGGAACCCACGAATGATGGGAAATCAAACGTTTTGCTTGTTTATGCCTAAACAATTATTTTAAACAAATGCAGTGTCAAAAGACTGAGTGAATAACCTTGTGGCCCATTTTCCTCAATTTATTGTTACGACTTTAAATGAAAAATTTCCTGGCTTTGGTTGCTTAATCGAATTTCTTTTCACGGTAGCTAATTTCATGGTTTCTCTTTTCTAGTATCGACTGGAGACCTTTAATGAATCAAGGTTAAGTGAATGGACTTTTGAACCTTTGACTAGTAAGTAACAGCCTCATACCCAATTTGAAATACTACAAACAGGAAATGCTTTTATATCAGAGTCATGAAGTGGAACTGTTTGCAGTGACATTCCTGCTCTGTGAGAGCGCTTCATACAATTTTAAACATCCCCACATCATGTGTATGAAAGGACGGTGAACCTGAAACAATTCTTTTTTAAATTCTTCATTTTAGCTTGTCTCAAAAGTTCTCAGGGTGGGCCATTATGTCAAAGGAAGGAATTGGTACCAAGGGCTTTAAACAAATTCCCCTGAACTTTCACAGTGTTCAGACTAAAGCAGAAGGAGCCAAGAAAGCTTGGGGGTAAAGTTCTCACACTCCTATTGTGCCAAGTTGGCATAGTAAATATGAGGTACAAGTAATACTGTATTATACTATTATCTATATTACGCGGCATCCAGAATCTCCAAGAAGAATTGGGGGCTCAGTTCTTTGCAAAAGGCCTCTTCTCTGTTTATAATTTCAGTAGATCTAAATGTCATGAAGCCCGCCATTCTAGCTAGCTGAGATTCTCCTATGCCCCTTTATAGAAGTCATATATGAGCAATTCCTAATCTGCAATGCTTTCATCCTCAGAGCACTCCTATAATGTTGAAAAGTATTAATATTGCCAAGGCGCAATAAGGCCCAGGTTCTCAAAGGTACTTAGGCACTTTAATCAATGAGAATAAATCCTTTGAAGGTCTGGACGCAAGTGCCTTGACCAAGATCGTGGAGGAATATCTTGGGTATTAGTCATTCATTTTTTCCCCTGATACTACATCTTCTTATGCTGGACTGTCACTTACTAGTACATATTGGCCAGAGATGAAAAGTTTGACTGAGATAAGGGATCTGAACTCTGTCCAATTTTAGGGGAAGGATGGTTGGATCTAGGGTTTGGCCTTGGATTCATCTCTAATATAGTACATATTTTAAACAGTGGAAGTCACCTTGTGACTCTTATGGTAGGCGGAGAAAGAGGTAGGCTCAAATTACTGCAAATCAATGACTTTATTTCAATATGTAATTGGAAAATGGAAAGAGTTCATGCATTTTTGCACATGTTCCCTGGATCAGTGGGCTACAGCACCTTAAGCCTTTGGTTTACAAGACAAGAAAGTAAACTTAACTTGGTCCTTTAGAGAAACTTTCATGATTACAGTATATGTGACTGCAAAAAAGTAAAAAGAGAGCTTACTTTAAAAAAAAGTAAGAAGAGAACTTCAGAATACAATGAGATCTGTTTTGAAAAGACGAAGTGTAATCATTTTCTAAGAGAAGCTTACTGAAGTGATTGACATGACCTATTGTATGAAGGAACTGAGGGACTTGGAGGGTAGTTCCCTGGATGGAACACATTTTTAAACTGACCTAGCTTCATTTTATTTCTATTTTGTGACTTCTTGTGATTTTTATTTTGGAAATAGAAGGTATTATTTCCACTGGAAGAAAGCAGCCTCTCTCCATAGTAAAAAAGTGCGAAAAATACTTTTAGTACATCTGAAACAATTTAGATTGACAACTGAAAGAGTGACATCCTTTCTTTGTCCAGAGAAAAGGTACAGGATGGATAACCTTCTTTCACTCCACTTAAGCAATGTGCATGAACCCAGACTTGAATGGCTCAACTACTCTGGGACCTCAGAAGATCCTGAAGAAGACCCTAAGAAGGTGTAAAATGGAGAAAGTGGGCAGTTCACTCTCCATCCCCATCCTAATCCTTCACAGAAAATACTAACAGAACTATTTAGTTCCTGCTAGTTGTGGTAGTGATTGGTGTGCCAGTGGGAAGAAGATGGAGAAGCCCAGAGTCCTCTCCAGAACCACAGACAGGAAACCAAAATTTGACACAAATTTATACAAGGTCTTCTTCCTATCACAGGTAACTTGGTAGATGGACCACAAAATGGCACTTCTCCTCGGCCATGGGACATTAAAGTTCAGACTCCACCGCTGTTTCATGACGATACAAGGAAGTTTCGAGTACCTCACTCTTCTTTAGTTAAGGTAATCCCCTATGGGGCAGTTAAAAATCAAGGACAGAGTGCATTATTAATTAGGATATGAGTGCTTAGACAAGCATTTTATGAATCTAGTTATTCGTGGTCATAAAAGAGAGCTCTAAAATGTATTTTAGTGTTAGTATACAACTTTTCTTTATTGTCACATCTCTACACACACACAGTGTTCATGGTTTTATTGAGTTTTAGTAAAACAGCAAATCAGTGCAATTGAATTATTTCTAATCTTCTTTTCTTTAGCTATTTTAATTTATTTTTTGCTCCAATATTTATTAGAAGAAATGCTGATATTTTTTTCTTTTTCTTTTTTCTATTTCATCTTGACAAAAATTGGCAGAACATTTTCCCAACTTAAAAAAAATATATATTATTCATAATAGAATTTGTCCAAAGAGAGGCAGAAAGCTATAGTTAGTTGAATCAGGTAAAATTTTAAATAAACTATAATAAAAAAGAATCTCAGAATATTTTTCCTCCTCTTCTTCTTTTTGCTGTATTTCTTTTTATAAAGTAATTTATTATTGATACTTTTTGAATAGTCCGTTATGGACTTTTTCACTATATTTGATAGTATTCTATTGAGGTTAAGCTGTTGTCTCTAAAGTTTGATGTAAAATGATTGCATGTTTCTATCTTGATGGTCCCTGGTAGCTTTATATATGCACATCTTTCTGATTTCAGGCATGCCACAAATGTCATGGTCATGGTAGATACAAATGCAGTGGGTGTCAGGGTGCAGGCTGGGTGAGTAGCAGTTATGGCTTCTTCAAGACAGTATCTCCTCCTGTCCTACCATCCTCTCCTACTTCTACCACTATCTCTTAATTCCTTTAGTTGGAGGTTTCTTTCACAAGTAATGTAGGGCTATTTGACTTACTATACCCAGAATTTGGGATGGGCATGAGGACAGATATAAAAGATAGCCTTGTTTTATTCCTAACCCCTACAGTCCAAGGCCCCAAACCTACATTCTTGTTCATTCCAAATTCCCATCAGGAGCTCCATATATTTAGAATCTGCATGGCAAACTCTGAATGAAAAGAAGCCTATCTGGAAATCCAGCCATGGTGGCGAGAGATATATTACACCCAGAACATTTCCCCTGTGTAGTTGTTACACTTGGTGAGTGTAAAAGCAAAGTAGTTCTTTTTACAGTTTGGTTCTTTGTTCCTGTGTCTAGATACACAGAAAAGCAAATGACTCAATCTATTCTAACCTATTCAGATTCCAAACCCAGCAAAGTGTGAGTTTTACTTAGTGTAAGAGGAATCTTACTGAGTTGTTTCCCCTCATGAATTTGGCCTTTTTTTATATGCCTCCCCTCCACAAAAGTTTGCAGGAACATTCAAAAGAGTTACCACTGTTGCACAGCTAAAGCAATTGTTTAGTTGCATCTATTCTGATTAAACACAGGTGCATCTGCAAAGTAGTTTACTAGCCGTTACTTACACGCACAACTTGCACCTATGTAACATTCATTTAATCTCAGAACACTTGCCCACTTATTCCAGGGGTGAATTTTATCGAGACATCTGTTATAGCCTCTTTCATATGAATGACACTCAAGCTAGCCTCCATTCTGTTGTTGTGCAAAGGACATACTTAACATAATTTTTTTTGCAGAACCTCACAGAGCAGGGCTATGTTTCGAAAGCATAACAAGACTTCACATGTGAAGTCTCGTTTGCATAAATCTGAAACACTGTTGACCTTAGCAACACGAGGCATATTTTATATCTCTGGTATTTTTAGATGAGGTGCGTTTCTTGCAGTGGAACACGACAGAGGAGAAAGCAGCAAAGGAGGTGTCAGATGTGTTCAGGGACTGGCCGGAAAAGGTAAATGGGCCCAGAGTGGATCAAGAGTGGGTGTGGTGGCATGGTTGCCCCCCCTTTGGGACCATGCTATGGGAGCAGCAGCTGCTGACATGTTTCTCAGTCCCCAAGGCAGGTAAGGTCCCGCCACTTCCCTTTTCTCCATGCTAAGAGGCAACTCCCCTCCCCTTCTGTTTACGTGCTCCCTGCCTGCTACTGCTACTGTCCCTGGATGACCCGGGGATAGTGGGGATCTCCAGAAATGCTTGTGTCCTGCCCTGGCTGTAACTGCAGGGAGCAGATCCCGAGACAGTCAGGCACTGTGGCAGCGGTGGTGATGGGTGGTTTCCCCATCTTTGCCAGATCCCCCCAAGTATTTCCCACCAGTCCAGACGAGGGACTTGACTGTCACTGCCGCTGAGCCTGGATTCGCTCACAGTACTGATGGGGCCCACTGGAGTGGCTCTGGAGCTCCCCTCCATGCAACCTCTAAGGTCAGCCAGGGACAGCAGCAGTGGAGGGGGAGGCAGGTGGGGACAAGAGGGAAATACAGGTACTGCTGAGCAGTTAGCAGGGAAGGGAGTGGGTGTTGAGAGCAGGGGGAGGCAGGCTCTTACCTGATTCAGGGACTTAAGAAAAAGTCCCTAGCTGCTGCTCCCATGGCATGGCCTACCTGCCTGGAGGGGGGGGGGGGGGGGGGGGGGAAGGGG